CTGTTAAAACACTTAGAAATAAACAAGTTTAAACGCCAGGATTGTATACGAAATCTGGCTGAAAAGTAACAGGATTGGTGTAACAAACAATTTATTTCACTTCCAAACGACAAACTAAATGGTTTCCCGTTACAAAGTAACCCCCACCTCGAGTCTAATGCACTTTTACATCCTTTAATGCCACGCTTCTATGCACTGCCGGAAGAATTCTTTTCGGTTTCCCTCGGCCCCGTTGTTATATCTCTTTTGATGGCCTCCGCTCCTAGCAAAACGGGCCCACTTTATGATCCACATGAGCTTGAGGAAAAGATAAAAAGTCACATGAAGCAAGATCAGGGAAGGTTGTTCTCGTACATGCGATATTCTTCTCGGCCAGAAACTTCCAGATGTTCAGGGCGTTGTGAGCAGGTGCGTTGTCGTGGGGAAGCAGCAACGAGCTGTACTGTCACAACTCTCGTCTCTTCTTGCGCAATGAACTTTTCAGTGTCTCTCGGCTCAGTCGTTACATCTCTCTTGATGGCCTCACTCCTTCAAAATGGGGCCCCTTGATGATCCCCTTGAGTTTGAGGAAAAGAAAAAAAAGTAACACGGAGAAAGATCAGTTGAATAGGGAAGGTTGTTCCAGTATGGCGATTTTCTTCTTAGCCATGAACTCCCGGATACTCAGGGAGTTGTGAGCAGGTGCATTGTCATGGGGAAGAAGCCAGAATTTCACCTGCCACAAAAGCGTGTGAAAAAATGCAATGGTTGTAGAAAGCTAAGATTACAGTTATATATTCTCAAGATATGTTAGATGATAACACAATCTGCTTAGGCCCAGAGCTCACACAGCACACACAGTCCCGTTACTTTTCAGATAGGCCTTGTACATTATCATCTGATTCTTGTATAGAAAAACTAAATCAATTTATACACGTACATTCATATTTAGTTTTCAGGTAGGTTTGGGATGAATTTATTTCTTGAGACTTCGAAAGGACGCGTCGTCTCTCCTTGAATTCGGAACGCCACAAATCCTACTAACGTTGCTTTAAAATAGTCGATTGCACGTGATACATGATTGACCAATGAGAATCAAACAACAAAAAAGTAAAAAATATCAGAATTTCGTTCTTCATTTTCCTTGTTGAAGAGACGATAGAATAATGGAATGGCTTGGATTGAGGAATCGAAGAACCGAGTTTGAATTTCAGTCGAGTTCATTGCATTCATTTTCTACAGATAGATATAGGGTACTTCTCGTAGAAGTACCCTATATCTATCTGTCTTAACCTATTACTATCTATCTATCTATCTATCTATCTATCTATCTATCGATCTATCTATCTATCTATCTATCTATCTATCACCAGATGATGAAAATCAAACAACACAAAAGTAAAAATGCCAGAATTTCGTTCTTCTTTTTTCTTGTTGAAGAGACGATAGAATAATGGAATGGCTTGGATTGAGGAATCGAAGAACCGAGTTTGAATTTTAGTCGAGTTCATTGCATCCATTTACGTGCTAATATGAATCAAATTCTTCTCCCCCTCACAACTATGAGTAAATAGGACAGACTGGATTGAGTGGCAACCAGTCCAGGAGAAGGAATATGGAGCAAGATCAGTTGAATAGGGAAGGTTGTTCCAGTTCGACGATATTCTTCTCAGCCATGAACTCCCGGATACTCAGGGCGTTGTGAGCAGATGCAATGTCGTCGCTAAGCAGCCAGGATTACTCCTGCCACAAAAGCGTGTGAATGAATGCAACGGTTGCAGAAAGCTAAGATTGTAGTTATATATTCTCAAGATATCATGTTAGATGATAACACAATCCGCTTATGATTCTTTTGCCCAGAGCTCACACACCACACCCAGTCCAGTTACTTTTCACACAGACCTTGTGCATCTGATTATCATATAGATAAACTAAATCAATTTATACACGTACATTCATATAGCAATATTTACAGTTATAAGGTACTTTTGGAATCAGTTCGTTCCTGGAAACTTCGGATGGACAATATCTGACGAAATCTCCTTGCCTGAGTGGAATTATTCGTAATTTGGAAAAGTCGATCATTAAAATTAATAGACACAAAATGTCAATTATTTTTAAATATTTGCCTTATATATACGAAGTTTGTCTGAAAAGTAACAGGACAGGAGATCACAAACAATTTATTTCAATTACAAACAACGAACTACATAGTTTCCCTTTCAAAGTAATCCCCTTGAGTCCAATGCACTTTTCCATCCTTCTCAGCCTCACTTCTTCCCACTGCTGGAAGGATTCTTTTAGATGTCTCTCAGTTCCGTCCTTATGGCTCTTTTGATGGCCTCCACGCCTTCAAAACGGGTCCCCTTGATGATCCCCTTGAGCTTAGGGAAGAGAAAAGGTGAATAGGGAGGTTGTACCAGTACAGCCATATTCTTTTCGGTCAGGAACTGCCGGATTCTTAGGGCGTTGTGAGCAGGTGCATTGTCGTGGGAAGACAGGCAGGATTAGTCCTGTCAAAAACTCGCGTCTCTTTTCGCTCACTGTGCGAAGCAAATGCTAAGATTACAGCTATATGTTCCCAAGGTATCATGTTAGATGATAACACAATCCACTCATCCCTCTTTCGCCCATAGCCTCACACAGCACACCCAGTCCTATTAGGAAGCCGAAAACTTAAACTTGTACCATATTTCTTGTACTTTTCTTTAGAAATGAACTTTGGACAGTATCTGACGAAATCTGCTTGTCCGAGAAGGATTATTCGTAATTTGGAAAGTCGATAATTAGAATTAATAGACACAAAATGTCTATTATTTTTAAATATTTGCCTTATATATACGAAGTCTGTCTGAAAAGTAACAGGACAGGAGATAACATTTTTTTTCAATTTCAAACGACAAACTATATGGTTTCCCTTACAAAGTAACCTCCAACTCGAGTCTAATGCACTTTTGCATCCTTTTCTGCCACGTTTCTATGCACTGCCGGAAGAATTCTTTTGGGTTTCCCTCGGCCTCGTTGTTATATCTCTTTTGATGGCCTCCGCTCCTTCAAAACGGGTCCACTTTATGATCCACTTGAGCTTGAGGAAAAGATAAAAAGTCACACGAAGCGAAGTTCTTCTCGGTCAGAAACTTCCAGATGTTCAGTGCGTTGTGAGCAGGTGCGTTGTTGTGGGGAAGCAGCAACGAGCTGTCCTGTCACAACTCTCGTCTCTTCTCGCGCAATGAACGAAGCAAACGCCACAGGATCTCGTTGTGGACTTTCTGATTGAAGAAGAACATAATCAGGTCCCTATACTTTTCAGACATACCTCGTAGGCGTGATTATTTAACAGAGCTCCCGAATGCACTGAAAGACACGAAAAAGAAAAAATCTAATTTGAGATTAGAAAGAATTATCAATTCCTTCACTCTTTATAAGCACACAAACATATATATTTTCTGTCCTGGACGATTCGATAAATTTATTTTTATATATATATATATATATATATATATATATATATATATATATATATATATATATATATATATCGATAATTCATCGAGTCTAGAAGAATCCTCAACAGAATGCAAAAAGCAAAGGACGGCCATTTCGTCCAATCCGGAACTCATCCTCAGTTCGCATCCATTACCGAGAATCGAACCAGGACCTTTCCGATACAACGCAAACGTCATACCAATTCTACCACGGGACTCGGTGACGATGAGTACACAATCCAGACTCTATATAGCGCTGCTACTCACTCAGTTCTGCAGCGATACTCATCCAAGTATTCAGATATCGTCAGAACAGTGCCCCATGACTCTCATATATATATATATATATATATTTAAGAGGGTGCGATGGGTATATATAGTATATATAGTCATCCAGATACAAACCTGTTTCCCTGTATCACAGCTCATCAGTGTGATTAGATATCCGATTGCCTCAAGCCGGGATCGAAACTCGACCGATTTGGCATCTGTCAGAGATTTTACACCGAAGCTATCGGCGCACGCCAGAGAAAGGTAAATATTAACGTATTATATACGTGATGTATACAAACGCCAGTAGCCAAGAACGCTCTATTCATAACTGAGGAGCGACGCGTTAATAGTAGGAAGAGCCACTGTTTTTTAAATTACCCTTCCACTATAGTGCTCAATCGGCAAACGAGAGAACATATATATATATATATATATATATATATATATATATATATATATATATATATATATATGAGAGGGTGCGATGGGTAAATGTCGTCATTTCATATTTTAATTTTGCGTATGTTGAGTAAGAAAATGAATGGAGGCATAGCAACGACATCATTAGTGATCACTCCAAACACCATGATTTTGATTGGACATATCATCCAACTATTTCCGAATACTCTGCACTTTTCTCAGATTGAGATCCCAACACTCTCAAACGTTCGCTTTGGATCTTCCGGTGCGAATGCCAAAGAGTACACTATGTCGTTTTCCAAATTTATGGCGGAGTCAATTGCGTCAAAGTTCTGTTTTTTCTCACAGATAGTGCCCAATGTAGAGACGCCATTTTGGCTTGTGGTGGCACGATCGAGTTTTTTTCAGCCAGGAATGGGCATAACGTTGTGGCGATAGTATTGAAGAAACGAATTAATAATGGCCAGAAAAATATTTATTGTTATCATTTATTCTCACATCAATATCAATGACATCGTAATGTCGACGACCTGGACATGTCAGTATGGTAAGCTATTAAATCATCAAGTATTTTTACCAATGATAATTAGAGGCTACGTCTTACCACTTGTATTGGCTTAGCGTTCGGAAATACAGCATTTATAGAAGGGAAAATCGCACTGAGAAAATAAATATTTGCTAACATTTTCCTCGCTCCGGTATCAAACAAGAAGGTTGGCGTCGGCGCCGTCGTTACCTTTTTCCTCCTCCTCCTCCTCCTCATCCTCCTTCTTCTTCTTCTTCTTCTTCTAACTCTTCTACTACCACTTCTTCTTCTTGCTAATTTTCTTCTTTTTCTTCCTCATGTTTTTCCTTTTTCTTCTTTTTTCCCCTTTTCTTTCTTTCTTCTTCTCTGATCCTTTTCATTTCTTCTTCTTTTTTTTTTTCTTCTTTTCCTCTCATCTTCTTCTTCCTTCTTTTTCTTCTTCTCCTGATCCTTTTCGTTTCCTTTTTTCTTCCTCCTCTTTTTCCTTCTTCTTCTTCTTCTTCTTTTTCTTCCTCCTCATCATCATCTTCTTCTTCTTCTTCTTTTCTTTTTCTTTTTTCTTCTTCCTCCTGTTTTTTCTTCCTCTTCTTTTTTCTTCTCCTCTTCTTCTTCTTCCTTTCTTCTTTTTTCTTCCTCCTCTTCTTCCTCCTGTTTCTCTTCTTCTTCTTCTTCGTTTTCTTCTTTTTTCTTCCTCCTCTTCTTCCTCCTGTTTCTCTTCTTCTTCTTCTTCTTCTTCTTTTTTCTTCCTCCTCTTCTTCCTCCTGTTCCTCTTCTTCTTCTTCTTCTTCTTTTTTCTTCTTTTTCTTTCTGTTCTCTCCTTCTTCTTCTTCTTCTTCTTCTTCTTCCTTTTTCTTCCTCCTCCTCTTCTTTCTCTTCCTCTTTTTTCTTCTTCTTCCTCTGCTTGTTCTCCTCTCTTTCTACTTCGATCATTTTCCTTCATCTCCTTCTTAGTTTTCTTCTTTTTTCTTCCACCCCCTCTTCCTCTTTCTTCTTCTTCTTCTTCTTCTTCTTCCTTTTCTTCTTCTTCCTCTCCTTCTTCTTCATCTTCTTCTATTATTGATATTCTGACGAAAACGTCGATTTTAAAGAAATCCCAGGCTACGTAGAATTGCTTGAGCGGTAAGCTAATAAATCCTCGAATGTTTTTCTTTCCAAAAGATACCTATCAAATTAAAGTGTGCATCTTACCTGGGCACATGGGAGATACGGCATTTTCAGAATTGAAAATCGCTCTCAGAGGCCAAATATCTTCTGACAACAATCCCCTCCCCCCGGCATCCAGTAACACGTGATTACGTTACTGAAAAATAATCCATAAGACGAATTCCAACAACGGCACCATCGTCTCACGTATTACACAGTTTCACAAGTGTTTACTTTATAGAAGGCGACAGCAACCAATAGTGACCAAATATCCAAAGTTTGCATTCACAGGGCTGTTTGTAGAACTATCTCACTTCGTATTTCTTGTCGGGGGGAGATGACACTCTTCTGCCACCACATCGAATTACAATACACATTATGACACATTAACTTAAAGCTAATAAGAGAGGATATTAATATTTCGTACCAGACAGTTTTCCACGTCGGAATACGTCTTGCGCGTGTAAGGATACAAAAGGAGGTTATTTCCCTTTGGTGAGAATAAGTGATATGTGTCAAATGAGGGCCGCTTAGAGATGTCATTCCTTTCAGTGAAGAAAGTGGCAGTCAAAATCAGTTTGTTTACAGCAGCCAAACCGAGAGGTTGCTGATTTAGGCTGGGCTAAACGAAATGGGATGAAGCTAAATTTGCCTCTCCCAGCAGGTTACAAGCCGTTTCGTTTTGGGGACTGGCCGTGTAGATATATGTGATATCTTATTCTCTGTGTGTGACACTTGTATATATATATATATATATATATATATATATATATATATATATATATAGTTTTATGTATGTCTTAGTAGTATAAAAGTCTCTCTGCGAACAAAGCATGTTTGTCATTCTTTTTCCTTTCAGCCAACACGTTCCGTCTGTGAAGTACGGTGATATTATATCACCAGATATAATAATGCCCATAATGAGGGAAATACAAATGGGTGAATAAAGCTTTCTATCATAGCTCCCTCCTGTTATACACATTTATAAATCTACCATTCATCCGGACATAAATTATTGCTTCTAAATCTGGTCTGGTGCTTCTGTTATATATCTCAACATTCTTGACAAAATCCAAAGAATCTGTAACGTCAACGATCCTGACCTGTCATCCCTACTTCAGTCATTTTGACACTGACGTGACGTGGCTGCTCGAAGTGTTTTCTACAAATGCTTTCATCACAATTGTTCAGATGAGCTTCCTTCTTGGAAATGTGTGTCTGTCCGTATATCTATTTTTGAATTTTCATATTTGATTTTTCTCATTCTATCTATCTCAGTCTGTTGCTATCTATCTATCTATCTATCTATCTATCTATCTATCTATCTGATTTTGTTTCTATCTATCTACCTATCTCACTGTGTTTTCTATCTATCTATCTATCTATATATATATATATATATATATATATATATATATATATATATATATATGTATCAGTCTGTTGCTATCTATCTCAGTCTGTTGCTACCTATCTCAGTCTGTTGCTATCTATATATCTCATATCTCATTTTGTTTCTATCTATTTATCTATCTATGTTTATCTATCTATCTATCTCAGTTTGTTGCTATATATCTCAGTGTGTATCTATCTATCTGATTTTGTTTCTATCTATCTACCTATCTCTTTTGTTTCTATCTATCATCTATCTATATATATATATATATATATATATATATATATATATATATATATATATATATATATATATATATATATATATATATATATATATATATATATATATATATAGTCTGTTGCTATCTATCTCAGTCTGTTGTAGATACCAGATTGTTTCTATCTATATATCTCATTTTGTTTCTATCTATTTATCTATCTCTGTTGCTATCTATCTATCTCAGTTTGTTGCTATCTATCTATCTATTACAGCAATTTGCATAGATATTGCTTCATTTGCGAAAAATCTGTTTCTCTTCAAGGCCTGGATAAGTGAAGCCGGGTGATGTCATCGATCATGAAAACGGAATCGACGAACCGTGTTCGAATCCTGGTGGCATCTATTTATATTCACTTTCCACGGATGCTCATGTGAAAGGATGAATTCATTTTCCATAAAAACTTGATATATAGGTCTCATCACTAGAATGTCATTGTGAATTGGTGAGTCAGCACCTTGGCAATTCACCCCATATATCCAGGAAGAAGAAGAAGAAGAAGAAGAAGAAGAAGGTCGTCATTGCAAAGCAAATTTTAATAACGTCCATTCAGTCGTGACAACAATGCATAATGTATAGATAGATAGATACACATAGTTAGACAGATAGATAATGCATAGATAGATAGATAGATAGATAGATAGATAGATAGATAGATAGATAGATAGATAGATAATGACATAAATAGATAGATAGATAGATAGATAGATAGATAGATAGATAGATAGATAGATAGATAATGAACATTAACATACAGGGACACAGACACACACGGAGACAACGATGCATAGATACATATGAATTGACTGCGATAGATAGATAGATAGATAGATAGATAGATAGATAGATAGATAGATAGACAGATAATAGATGACATACATACATACATACATACATACATACATACATACATACATAATGAACACTAACATATAAAATCACAGACACACACAGAAACAAGAATGCATAGATAGATATGAATTGACTGAGATAGATAGATAGATAGATAGATATAAAAGACGCATATAAATTATACAGTGTCTGTCATGGTTAAGTTAGCCGACATGGTTTCCCTATTGAGGCGTGTGGCAGGTATTACAAGAATAGCCTAAACTTCATTTTTACAAAAGGTTTTCCTAAAAACATCATTGTATAATCATCGGGAAAATGTCTTTTTTTTTTGCTGATACAGTGATTTCGAGGTATGTGTGACATATCCGCCTGGGTAGATGACAGATTAGAAGAATAATGAACCGCTCCATATTCAAGAGACACCAGACTGTCCACATCTATCTATCTATCTATCTATCTATCTATCTATCTCATTCTGTTTGTATCCTATATATCTATCTGCCTCAACCTATTCCTATCTATCTATCTATCTATCTATCTATCTATCTATCTATCTATCTATCTATCTAGGACTTCGTTTCTATCTATCTCTCAGTGTCCAGCTTCTTAATTTCTTTCTCCGTCCGTCCGTCTCTCTCTCTCTCTCTCTCTCTATCTATCTATCTATCTATCTATCTACCAACCCTTGTCTGTTGCTGACTATCTATTTTTGCATATTGTGTATTTACTCGAATATAGAGATGGAAGAACAACTCCTAAACACGCACCCACGCACACGTATATATATGGCGTTATATGTATATATATATATATATATATATATATATATATATATATATATATATATATATATAATATAACGCCAAAAGGACTCTTTTTTAATTTGTTTATTTTACTATTTTTATTATTTTATTATATTATTGTACGCTTCTCACTGTTTATTTTATCTTCCTCCCTTTTCTTCGTTATTTTCACTTCCACTTTTCCCACACCCTATTTTTTTTTATTTCGAACCCATTACCTTTGCGAGTCTTACAACGTTTTTCCCTGCAGTTTCTCACTTCTTAATTGTGTCCAATTCTTTACCTGCTGAGTTTTTTTTTTTTTTAAAACCTATTCATGAGTCAAAATTCTATTTTTCTCATTTACAACAGAAACCTTCTTTTTTTGTTTTTAATTTTTATATTTATTCCCAAATATGCCGACTGCTTCTCCACTTTTACCCCCAGTATTTTTTTTCTCTCGCTTAATTTAAAAACCCCCCCCCTTTTTTTTTTTTTTTTTTTCTCGAATTCATAGATTTCTTTTCACCTTTGCCCATGGCCTGAGTTTTCTACTCCATTTTAAAACCGCCAACTACCTCCTCATCGTTTTTATCATGTCCAATCTTCTCGTATGCCACCGCCATTTTAGTTGTATCCTGCGTTTTTGCTTTCCATTTGATTAATATCCTTCATGCTTTTATTTTCCTTTCTTTTTATGATTTTTTCTGAGACGTGAGAAATCCCAGGCGCCGGTACAAGGCACTTGAAGCATAAATCTTCGAATATCAACTATTTTGACGAAACTTAATGTTAATTCTAGCCCCGCGAATGCTCGCTGATCACAGTAAATTCTTTCTTTTTTTTTTTTTTTCATTAATGCTTACAGTGTAACCCTGATATAAGAGACCTGGATATAAGAGAAACCCGGATATAAGAGAGATTGTCTCTGGTCCCAAATTAGAGCCATACTTGCCTAAAGAAAATAGACCAAACCCGGATATAAGAGAAACCCGGATATAAGAGACTTCTTCTCCGGTCCCGACAACTCTCTTATATCCGGGTTACATTGTACAGTGTAACCCTGATATAAGAGACCTGGATATAAGAGAAACCCGGATATAAGAGAGATTGTCTCTGGTCCCAAATTAGAGCCATACTTACCTAAAGAAAATAGACCAAACCCGGATATAAGAGAAACCCGGATATAAGAGACTTCTTCTCCGGTCCCGACAACTCTCTTATATCCGGGTTACACTTGTATAAGTAACGCCAAACAACTTCTCTCTAACCGTTAACGTTACGAAGCTAGTAGAACTGTAATAGACCAGTAAGTACCTCTGTCAATCTCCTTTTTTAATTTATTTTTTTTATGCATTACGCCCCAAGCAAGGCGTGAAGCCACTAGGATGCAGGGGGTTGCGGAAGATTTGGAGCGAGAGCAGATAGGAGTGATAGAAGAAAGGATGAGGAGAAGGATAGTGGGTAGATCAAGGTAACTGGAGATGTCGATTGACATTACATTTGAATAGTTTGAGATTATAGCTTTCAGGGAAGCAGTAACTGGGGAGGGTGTTCCACTGGCGAGAGGTGCGAGGTATGAAGCTATTGGAGTAGAAGAGACGGCTACATCTGAAAGTTTCTTCAGTGAAAGGGTGAGAGCGGGATGCCAGTCTCGTAGGGCGCTTGAATTCATGGAGTCTGGGAACCAGTGAAAGCAGCTCATCAGAACAATTACCATGGAAGTATTTGTAGAAAAGACAGAGAGAGGCGACGGCGCGTCTGTGAGAGAGTGACTGCAGACGAGACGCTAGATCAGGGCCAATTAAATTACATATCCGTCTCTGGATCTTGTCAAGAACTCCGAGGTAAGCAGAAGCTGCTCCAGCCCATATATGACAGCAATACTCCATGCAAGGGCGAATGGTTGTTTTGTATATTTGGAGTATCGATTCAGGGGAGAAAAATTTCCTGGCGCGGCACAGAGAGCCAACTTTCCTCGCGGTGGAAGAAGCAATTGACTCAATGTATTTGTTCCATCTCAGGTCAGCAGTCAGCGTGAGACCGAGCAGACGCAGGGAGTTGCTCTCCGGAGGTTGACTATCAGACATTTTAATGGGGGGCAGGGAAGGATCTCTATGGTGGTTAATGGAGAGTAATTTAGTTTTTGAGGCGTTAAAGTTGACCAGCCAATTCTTGCCCCAGTTAACAACCGATTGGAGGTCCATTTCAGGACGCACGGCCAGGTTAGTTTTCTCGCCGACACTAGATTTGTTTTTGAGGCAGGAGTAAATTGTAGTGTCGTCTGCGTAGATGCCAACTTGGGAATCTATGGCGTCAGGAAGGTCGTTGATGAAAATAAGGAAAAGAGTGGGGCTAAGGATGGAGCCTTGGGGAATTTTTTACGTTCGTGGGATTTATTGGAGGAGAATCCGTTGAGAACGACCTTCAATTCTAACGTTTGACAGGAATGATTGTATTAGATCAAACAGTCGACCAACCATACCCCTGGAGCTTTCGAAGAAGGCGGCGTGCTAAACCCTATCGAATGCTTTGGAGATGTCTAGGGCCACGGCACGAGCCTCACCGTTATTTTGAAGGGCTTAGTAGACGGTTTCAGTGATGGCCGTAGGCACATCATTTGTAGATCGGGCGTTGCGGAAACCATATTGCTTGCCCGAAAGCAGATTATGGGATGTAAGGTGATTAACCACTTCGGCATTGATTAGGAGTTGAAGATTTTGCTGAAGCAGGGTAGGAGACTAATCAGGACGGTAATTAGATATTCAGAGGGGTCTCCAGAGTTCTTAAACACAGCAACAATGGATGAGGACTTCCAGCAGTCAGGAAAACAGGATTCATTTTGAGGCAGTAATTATTACAGTTTGGAGGGGGCGGGCGCTAGTTCAGGCGCATTGATCCTTCAAGACAATGGCTGGTATGCCATCTCCACTACTAGCGTTATGGGGGTCTAAGTCGGAGATAATGCCCTTTACCAATTGACGGGGTTATTCCTTCCGCCGCTCAATAAGGCCTTAGTTCTTGGAGGGAAGTTTGGTATGGGTACACCGGTGGAGAAAATGTTGAATTAAATGACAATTTCCGAGCAAAGCATTCAGCCAAAAAAAGAGGAATAAAGAGTAAAGAAATGGTTGAATAAAGGAGGTATGGAGGGTTTTCTATTGTTCAGGACATTCTTTGCAGACACGCCAATAATCAGTTTTTGAGCCAAATTTTCGAGATGCAAAATAACGTTCCTTCATTCGAGCAGCAAATATTGACTTAGCTTCGTTGAGGACACGCTTACACTCGTTAGGGGCAGAGGCAGTGAGACGTCTATTGCAGTCCGACATGTCGCTACAAATAGGTGAAAGAAGTTATTCTTCTCCTTGGGAAATGGTAGCTGAGCAAGTCAGACGGGGAACCATTGGGAGGATGGCGACTTGACCGCTTAAATAGCAACCTCCTGAGGGGAAAAAAGTGTCGATTCGAAAGCTTTAACCCAGGATGAACCACGCATGAAGCACATTCTTGGACAGGGTTGTAAATATTAACATCCCAGGGGACATCGCATGGAGGAAGTTCACGGAACGAGAGATATTTTCAGCTCTTTTGAAATTATAAACGAGGTTCTTTTGATGGGAGGTTCTTTGCAAGGGTGTGGACCATTGAAGG